TTGATCCCATTTTGTGGGGTTTTTGGCGATAAAATTTCCATGATTCTTGGAACCCGCCTCAGCATGTACACGTAAGACGCGAGTCTTCTGTTTCAAAGCGGTACACTCAGTTACTCTGTAAAAATGGTGGATAATCGTAATCGACTTTTGAAAGTTTCAAAATTCGAAGATTTGTCGTTCGATGCGTTTGGGTGTTTTGTGACTTCGCAAAAGTGAAAACTTGTGGAAAAGCTGTTTCAAAAAATACTGACAAAGAGAGGATACTAGTCGAAAGCACCAATCCAGATGAGACATATATCATCTTAAAGCGCTTGAAACGCTGACTCCAAATCTGTAGATTTTAGCAGCGGAGCGATTTTGTAGATAGAGTTATGAGGGGTGTTTCCCACTAGGGTTGAGACGCCTTCCAGCAGATCTCCCTTGTCTATGAGAACTGTAGAAAAGTACCAACTGGTGGCAACTGCCCTAGTGATAAATGACTTGCTCGACAAGGAGAGTGTCAATGCTTTAATTCCCTTCGCATGCAACTTTATCGCAATTTTAGCAAAATTGAGCTTCTAAATGGCTTTGTAGAACTAAAGTCTTGAATTTTTGATGATATTGATGCTAACCGAAGTTAGAAGTGTTAAAAAACCGAAGTAATATAAGTACTATAATCCTTATTGTAATCTTCATTCAAATTACTTAACACTAGGGCAGTTGCCACCAGTTGGTACTCCTCTGCAGGGCTCATAGATAAGGGGAGTCCTGCTGTAGGTCACCTCAACCTCAGAGGAAACATCCCTCACAACTCCTTCTGCACAAACTCTCCGCGGCTAGAAACTACAAATTTGGAATGAGCGTTTCAAGCTCTTCAAGATGATATATGTCTCATCTGGATTGGTGCTTTCGACTAAATATCCTCTCCTTGTGAGAAGCTTCAAATTTAAAACTGCATTGCACTGCGCTCTGTTTATGCTATTCAACTGCTATCGAATCTTCTCCAAAAGTTCAAAAAGAAGACCCTGAAAATTTGCTAAAGTTGGACATGTAAAAACTGTGGCTTCGAAATTTCGGCGATTATTTCAGTGACACTAGAGTAAGCGGCATGTGGATATGACAATTTAAAAGAGGAAGAAAAGCTGCATCGGGTAGTGTTTGCAGCTTTTCCCTATTTTTCTTCCACGCATTTTCATGATAGGGTGGAAAAACGGAAAAAACTTTCGGAACGACCTAATACATAAGACTAGCGTCCTAGGGGTTGCTAGCTAGTTGGTTGGGAGCAGAAACATCATTTGGCATGTTTGGGTGCCGCTGTAAATAGTATAGAACTCAATTTATTTTTTGAACAACTCGCGAGTTGTAGATAATAATAGAACTAGCTCTGAATGAGGGAACAGTGTGTAATTATGTTATCCAACTTTGCTAGTCTTCGCAAAAACCCTTTTGAAAATCCCAGCCTAGATCTTTTTACTGGAAATCAGCAAAGATATCATCTTTAATGAAGAGCAGCTGTTTTTGATCAAATCTCAGACTTTGGAACACTTGTGGAACATTGCTATGCCTTGGAAAGCGTTAAGCTTCTTCGAAGGAAACCAAAACTACAAGTACATAGCTCCTCTGAAAGCGGCTTTCACTGGTTTCGTGAAATTATCTTCAAATTCCTGATATTTTTCGTTAGCGGAACCAAGTACGCCCTGATCTTTTCCCCTTTGAGGACAAAGGTAAAGGCTACTGCATGGCGAAGGCGCAGAAGCAGTAATATTGGAGCGGGGGGGCGCGCGTGCATCTTTACCGTTGTAAACCCTTCGACTCATGCGCTCTACGGCTAATAGAGCCGCGTTTGCGTCCAAAGATACTGCGCCTTCGTCATGCAGCAGCCTATAGATAACTCTTGAGGAGTAAGGTCAAAAAAGTGTTCTGTCATGATGTTTCAGGCCCTTTTTTGTGGCGAAACCCCCTGGTCTTTGCTTCCAGTGAGACCAATTTCGCCCTTTTGCTTTTTTTGGAAGCAAAGATAGGGTCTTCTTAGACAGAAATTCTCAAAAGTATCTCTCGGCAAAGTTTCTTGTAAGTAGCATCCAAGCAGATTCTCGACTTCCATATTTTTATGTTATCCAGTTCTTTTCATGGCGCCGAATTCAAATATGGCGCTCAAAACCTTGAATTCCTCAAAAATCACCTTTGTGGGGGTAATTTGGGAAAAGCGAGTGCTTTTGATACTGCCTTTGTTGAAAGCAAGCATTAACAGGTAAACGCTATGTGTTCGACTGTTAAGTTTGCCATGTGAAAACACGTCCAGGCTGGGGAGATTTCCTTTAAGGGGGTTGCCGCTGAAGGAAGTGGCATTCCTTGAGCTCAGATAATCGCCGCGGGCAGGCGGGCACCGGAAAATAGTTTGCTGATTTCTTGCGGTCCGCTTGCAGATATTTGGAAGAGTTTTGGCGAAAGCGTCTAACAAAAAGAAAAGTAGAAAAAACGTGCGTTTGAATTCAGAGCTGGGGTGACGTGCTCTACCGCAACGGCCTGCTTCAGTTCAAACTCCAATTTTTCCACTGAGCGACCAACAGTGAGGACGACTATAAGGGGTCGGGTATATCGGGCAGGAAATCCATCGCATCACTAATCAAAAAGAGTCACTTGTCGAATGCATGGCAATGCTTAGCACTGACGAGGTGCGTGCTAGTCGTCCGAGACGACGAATCGCTGACCGTTTCTTGCTAGGCCATACCTATCTGGGCGAAATCGTCTTGATTTCCGCATCGCTCATTCCGACGCTTTGGCATCGTTAGGAACGGGTTTTTACAATAAAATATCGGGACTGTTCTTCATTTTCTGAAGAAGGTTTCAAGTGTGAGGATTGGAAAGTAGTTCAGTTTTATCAGGCTTCATTGGTACTGTGTAAAATGCTTTTGTATCATACGAACTTTGTCCAACTTATTGATTTGTTGTTTGACTGCTATCCCAATTGAATGAGTGATTTGATATAATGTGATCACATCAAAACTGTTGATAACATGTAACAACTTCGCCTTCATACAGAAAGGTAATTTCTGATAAAAAAAATTCACTGGCATTAGTTAGAACGCGTATAAAGTGGAACGTCAATAGATTGAGCATGAAGGTGATAACCACGTTTTGCCTTCACTACTCTGTGTCTTGTAATCAAAAACGAAGAGAACCATCCAATGAGACCACTGATAGTTCGTAAAATGAGCGCTTAATTGTGAGACGGCATCGGTCGATGAAATGGTATGCTCATGTCCGACAATTTAGCAATCCCGTCGCGCCTTTTCATCGCTGGTTCCCAGCAGATCGCGACGATTAGCATTTACGACAATTTTATCGCTTTTGGCATGCCCGACCTTCAACGGAGTGGCTCACTGATATCTCTACATTAAATCTTTTTTGTTTTTGGAGACTGCTATTTTGGGATCAAAAGAAGGAGCTGGGCAGAAATGCAAAATTTCAGTCCCTCCTTCAATTGCCATCTGAGGGAATTTTGGTATGCTGCTTTTGAACGTTGGAAGGATTGGCACTAGCTGTTCTTACTTACTTAGATTACTTAGATCGCCTGTCCTCACGCGCCGTGCGGGCCTCAACTTTTGACCATTCGTTGCGGTTTCGTGCAATCGTCATCCATGATCGTCTTAATACTCGGTTGCGATTGCTGCTGGACGATCCTGAATTAAACTCCAACTGCTGGCGCAGACAAATTCGTCACACCATCTCTTCGGTGATCTTCCGCGTGGACGTTTTAGGATCTTGGGATCCATTCTATCGTTCGTTCGTCCATCTGTCGTCATCTCTTCTCAATATATGACCGGCCCATTTGTGCTTATTCTTCGACACGTACCCTTCTGGATCTTCTAGACGCGATTGTTATCTGAGGTCGGCGCTTTGGAATCCAAGTCGATACTGCCTGAACTGGGTCATCTTCAGATATATCATAAGAGCCTAATAATGAGAGGAAAGTGCAACAATGTGCTCAATTTCGGAATTTTTGTGTACAATTTTTTTGCGGTCTGCTTATAACTTTGTTCACAAGAGCGCTAAGCAAATATGAAATACAGATTCGAAATCAGCGTTGAATGCTGCATCGAAAGGCAGACTTGCATGGATTGGCCAATTCGACTTTTTACTATTTTCTTGCGGATAGAGTCCAATACAATTGTCCATGACTATTTCGCTTTTGCACTCTAGATTTCCTCGAAAATGCTCAAAAATTGCAAATCAAAGTAACTTCCATTTGCTTCCAAATATCTACTCTCTCGTTTTATTTCATGGTAAAGGCACTATAGTAATGCTATAACTTTCTTTGTAAAAGAAAAACATTCTTAAATTCGTGACACTGTTTGGAAAATGCTAATTTTGAGCGAATTCCTTTGCTTATAACTCTCGACATGCCTCATACTAATTTATGGCACAAGGCTTGCAAAGAGCATGGTTTTCCCTTTTCAAGCAAAAATGAGAAGATTCAAAGGGAAAAAAAGCTACAACTTTTTGAAATATTACGGATGAACTTCTGGACCCACCCGCTAGTGGTGACCAAGTAGCGATTTAGTTTCAGCTCGGTGCAAAAAATTCTTTTCTTTTCTTAGACCTACCCTGAAATTCCACAGAGTAAAGGTGAACAAATAGCTAAAGCACTGTCCGCTGCAGACTTGTTTCCTCTATCCATCTGTTATGTACGCGATGCAACACTTTCGATGAGCGCTGAGTATTTTCTAGCTCGTGACCCTTCATTTTTACCATGACTACCTTTCGCTAATTTTCAGAATTTGCGGCGATTCGCTCAGTCATTCTAATATTATCTCATCCATCCAGCCATCTTTATTCACATGAGCACTTTGCAATAAAAATGAACACTCATCAACCGCTATCAAAGTGCTTGACATTTTGTTATAGTCATTTTTTCATCTAACTATTTTTAATATTCACATATTAGTCAGAGGTTGTTTTGCCTGGGTGCTATTTAATCAGTTCTGCAAGTGCTTGCATTACCAATGGATTCATTGCAGTAAAAGAGTACAGCTGTGAGGAAAACGAGGAAGAAGTTATGGGGAAATGTTTCGCACTGGCGGAGAGCAAAGGAAAACCGTTTTCTCGCGATGCATGCCCTCCAGAATACACTTTACATGTTCTTGAAAGCAGAGAAGAATTTCAATGGATTGCAGGTAAGACAAGGCGAATTTATGTAAGGATTGCGTAGGGTTCACTTCAGTATTTTGCATTTGTAATACTACTTGGCAACCAAACAATTACAAAGCGTATCCTCACTTTATTCTATGAAAACTCTTAAAAAAGCTTTACAGAATATTATTTAACTATGTCGACAGTCGTCGAATATATACTTTTCTCCTAAAAACGTTAAATAAATGGCAAAAACTTTCAGATGGTCCGGACTTTTGCTTTGCTTAATATCGCCCTAACAACAGCGGAGGCCGATCAAAAATTTATGATTTTTGCATAGCTGCATACATAGTAATGCTAGCGACCATCTCCTAGGCAACATTCTGAACAAAAGGCTTGTTTAAAACAAAAAAATTCTGAATAATTTAGCTGAGAGAAGGCCTGAGATTCTAGCCTTTATCACTTTAACACAAAATCATAGAGCATAAATATGTATTGAAGAAATAGTTCCAAAGTCAAATGCGCTATTTTGATGTACAGAAAAGGGTTTTGAGTAGGAAAGTTTCAAAAGACTTAGGAGGCGACAATTTCAAAGCATGCCAGTGTTCCTGACGATTAAACATGAGGAGTGGTAGAAGTGCCGACACGTAAGCAGTCGATAAAGGTGTGTTATTAGTGTTGGAGTGCAGTAAAATTTGTTGGTTGAAAACCTCTACTTTGGGTACGAAATTGGCTGCAGTTTTAGGAAAGTATGGCTCGTAGTAAACCCTCATTCATCTTAATTGACCTGAGATTATCATTTAAAGGAACTTCCTAGGGTGAAATTTGTTGTGATTGCAGATGATCAGTTGTTCCTCATAGTGATCTGCCTGGCGTAGTCGACCGCAACCTCAGAGTGCGCGGGAAATGAGCGCTATAAAAGGCGCTCACTCATAGCCTTAGTCAGTCCAGTGTTCATTCATTCGCCTCTCACATTCCTACTGTTCTATCGTTCTCTGATAAATATTCCTTTTTGATCCTGTACCGTCCAACAGACGAAGACAACGAAGGGTCCGAAGTGGAAGAAATAAGACTAAGACGACGACAAAACGCATGCATTAATATCCCCTCCGAGAAGGGGATTGCAGTTTAAAAGAAAGCTTCAAATTCAAAAGCTCCAGATGTTTGGATTTCACGTCGTCTGTCTATCCGTAAGTGTTCCTGAGAACTTTTACTATAAACATATCGAATTGGAGTAAGAAGTTGTACAAGTCGCATTTTCCAGCTTTTTGTATGACTCCTTGTGATCCCCGCCGCTCTACCGTCTTTTCTTCGAAGTCATTTTTTTTCTTCGAAGTTGACGAAAACATTTTAAAGTGTACTGATTATCTAGCCCGACACTGCTAAGCATGTTCCTGATGATTGACGAGTTTTTGAAATATTGAACTATTCGGTAAAGCCTAAATTTCGACTTGTGGTTCATCGTAAATTTCATGATTTCAATACATGTTCTTATCACAGACATACTTAGCATTGTTCAGTTAGACGATCTGTACAACTTTGGCACGTTTCATTGACTTTAAGGGAAGAAAAATGACTTTGAAAAAGGAAGGTTTTTTGCCGAGGACCATCAGGGGCAGGTGCTGGACAAAATCATCATTTTACTCTAAAAAGTGCCGTAGCTCACTCTGTGGTCAATAAAATGTTCCGAAATTTTGTACAGGCGTGTGCTTACCAGCCTACTATCAGTCATCAGAACGGGTCTCGTTCTAGTTTGGTTGTTTGAGAAAAAATTGAAAATTTTGAAAAAAAAAACAGGCTTGAAAGCTGGTCAAAATTATAGGTCTACCTTGAGTTTCGCACTTCCTTGCTTCCGAATTTTTTGGGTTAGTACACATCTCAAAAATGTTGCACAGTTGCTTTAGTCAAGCTGTGTCGTACCTCCAAAAGAGCCGATTATTTGCTTTGCCTTGAAAATGCATCCACATATTTTCGCTCCAGAAACCTGTTCTCAGCTTAAATGGAGGCGATAGAGTTTTTTCTAACTTCTGAATGCTTTTTGACTTTAGGAAAAAATCTGACTTTTGCTGCTGAATCAACCATTGACTTAATAAAGCCTAAGTCTTAGTTTCTGCCTTAAAACCTTTATCCGTTATCTTATAACTTTAAGATATAGTAAAAGCAATCTTTACACAAAAAATAAGTCTGTACGCCATACTCACAAGTGTTCACAAAGTTGCCCTTTGCTTCATTTTTGAGACAGGTAATAGTGGTGTAACTCACTTCCAAAATAGCTTGCCAATTGCTACTTCACTTAGGTTTTTGACAGTAATTATATACCTGATGGTGGACACAGTTTATAATGTATGTCAGCACATGACTCTTTTGAAAATTTGGTCAGAGCCACAATTAGCACTGATGCTTGTCGCAATCAGTTTCTGCATGGCGACTTTCGTAATTATACTACTTATAAGGAAAGCTACCTAACTCAGCTCGTCCTTTTCTAAAAGGCACATATTCTGAATCAGTTTGAACGCTAATTCCAAATATGCTATTCCTAGCTGCCACGCACCATTCCGAAACGATTTACGGGCTATTTCTTGCGCAAAATTGGCATAATACTGAGCTGCCTGTAGATAAAAATCTGCAAGAAAAAGGTGCTGAGGTATTGAAATAGTACAAATCCTATCTTTTCTAACATAAAAAGCTTGACGTAGGTGTATCAGCACTCAAATGATGATGACGTGATGCCCGTGAATCAATGAGCACGCCAATTTTGCGCAGGAAAAAGCCCATAACTTGCTTAGGGATGATGCGTGGCAGCTAGAAATAGCATATTTAGAATCAGCAACATTTTCCTTAGAGACAGTGCCTTTACTTTTTCTAAGGACATTGTAGAAGGAGTTTGAAGGCAGGAATTTGAACTCAGGATTGCAGTATTGCCGATGTCAGATTTGCTTCGACACCAAAAATTCAGATTCTTCATGGTTTTACCAAATTTTGGAACATTTTGTTGACAACGTAAGTCATGGTATTTTTTAAGATGGGCCTATAATTTTGTCCAGCACTGTGCAAAAACCTGAAAGATGCTACTTGTACAGCTTCTCGCTCCTGTGCGATTGTTTATTGTGAAGGAATTCGCTTTTTGTACAGTGCTGGACAAAATTATAACATAAATACTTGCGGACAGGTAGACAGCGTGAAATGTATTCTGGATCTTTACAATATGAAGCTGTCTTTATAGCTACGATTCCCTCTTCCCGCAAGGATAAATGCATGGGCCCTAAGACCGTCCACCTTGTCTGCTATGGGATATTCAGTTGAACAGTCAAGAAGGCCCGGCAAGTGCCACGGTCAGTTCAACAGAATGTCATTTAGCCAAGGGCAGGTTTTAGGGTGAAAACCGAGAAAGATAGTATGCAGGAGAGGAAAGTCAGACAAATTCTTTGTATGCTCGAAGTAACTTGCGGGACAACTCATTGCGGTGCAAAGCTTATAAATCTACGGAAATTCGGGGCTTAAGAAAGTGAGAATCGACATACACACGATTGCGGCGAAGAAACAGGAAAAAAGTTTTTTTTTGCAGTTTTTTTTCAGAATGGTGCATGAAACCAGAATTTGTTTGTTGTTTAATCCGTTGGTGTTTCATGTTTCTCAGTTCTTTATGATGTGTTCGTAATGTCGTAGATTTGTTTTATCCTTTTATTTGCTAGGCGATATGTTTGATAACGGTCACCACCATCGATTTTTATGTGATAGCCGCTATCAGAAATTGCCCATTGACGCACAAATATTCCACTAGCCTGCCTCGAACCAAGTTCTTTTGCCTCGAATATCATTCACTTAGCCGTTCGACCAAACCTGTTCAAGGCGCTCGTTTTTGCTTTTTCAATTTCTCAAAAAAGAAGTCCCTGTAGACTTCAGCACAAAAATGCGACATCACCTATGACGCGATCATGAACGGATCAAAACGAGTAACGAAAAAATAATGGAACAAAACATAAAACCAACATCGAAGAAACGAAAAAAATTGAAGATGTCCGTAATCCGTAATATTGGCGGCATGCTGTGTCCGGCCGCACCCCCTGCGCGCTTGGAGCAGGCTTGCCCCCGCCGTACAAAATATTTGCAGGGCCGTAACTAGGCGAGGAAGAGGGGGTTTAGAGAGATTCAAAAACTTAGTTGTAGGGTTTTTGATGCAGAACAAGGTTATGTTAAACATGTGAGAAAATTATGTGAAGGAAGGAAAATATATAACTTTTTCTTTTCACAACCTCAGGTATAGTTGTAACGAACAGAAATTTTCGCCGAATGAACGAATATCGAATAATCATTTTTTGAAATTTTTTCGAATGAATGAATAGCGAATAATTGATATTCGAAAATTTTTCGAACGAATGAATATCGAATATTTGATTTTCGAAAATTCTTCGAACGAACGAATATTATTCGAATTTCGTTTTTCATTTTATTCGAATTTGAATATTCGAATATTGGCACATTCCAGAATTCGAATGAACGAATACTTGAATAACCGAACTTGATCGATTCGACTAATTTCGAATAAATGTTCGAATATTATTCGAATATTTGAATTCAATATTCGAATATTCGAATATTCGAATAACTATCTTTAAAACTACTCGAATGAACGAATATTCGAATAACCTTTTTTTAAAACTCCTCGAATGAACGAATATTCGAATAAGTCATTTCTCAAAATCGTCGAATGAACGAATTATTCGAATATAGGTCTTTTTCATTTATTCGACTATTCGAATAATCGAATAAATGGACATTCTCAAATATTCGACTATTCGAATATTCGAATAGTCGAATATTTCGAATAAATTATTCGAACACGAATATTCGGTGCTAACTATAACCTCAGGTGGCAGTCCAGGGCGGTATGCAACAATCGCCCGTCCGAATTACCCGGACAGGTAGTTTCCGCTTCATAGCTCGGTGCTCTAGGGATCTGTGTTCTTCCTTGTTTGTTCATCCTTGGGAGGCTCTACTTCTAATATTGTAGCACAATGATTAGCACTTTGCTGTATAAGCTGAG